ACCAAGGTACATGCCCTTGACAGGAATCGAACCTGGGACCTTTCAGTCCGCAGGCTGATGATTTAGGGCTCAGCCATTATCTTTTTCATTGTGCCTCTTTGACGTTGTCTCTCATCTCCTTCTGGAATATTTTTTTGACTTACTATCCCTTCTCAATACAGCTTCTGTGCCTCACTGTATCTCTTATTTTCTTTCTTTTGGAATTTCTCTAAATCTCTGTTCTAATTCACTAATAACATCTTCATGTTTGTCTTATTTGCTGTTTAGTTTTAAATCTGATCATTTTTATTTATAAAAGTTCCATTTGATTTATTCTCAAATATTTTTTAAAATAAAAATCTTGTTCTTTGCTCATGTCTTCCTGCCTATCTTTGATGCTTTCAAATGTATTCAACATATTTTTTTATATTCCATAATTCCAACATTCCATGTAGGCAAGTTTTATTCTGAAGTCTGTACATTTCTCCAGGCACTCACAGTAAAGTGGAAATAGTTTTGAGATAAGAATAAAAACATTAATCCATCCACAGGGGATTTCAATGTGTTATAAATCTCATTACCTGAAGGCATTACCAACTGGGGACCACTGTAAATTAAATTTGCACTTGAGGCTTTCTGTCCTATACATGTAGCAGAATTCCAGCTTTCAAGTGATGTGAAGGTTGGCTTGAAAAATGATTTTTCCTGGGAAAATAATAAAATTTAGCTGCTGGCCCCTATGGGAATCCTCACTGGCAAGACAAGTACAAGACCTGGAGAAGAAATAGCACTGTGTTCATGGGGGCTTATGTTTTTATCAGTATTGTCAAAGTATGATATTTAAACAGCACTTGCTTCAAACTACTGTCTCTTTACATGCCATCATCTCCTCTGTCATACTTTCCTTCCCGCTAGGTGATGTTGGAGTTGCCTCAGGCTTTCTGGGTTCCGAGTAAGAATTTAGTTGGGAATGTAATATTTTTACTGCAACTTGGACGGGCATTTTGGAATGCTTTAACAAAGTACGTCATTATTTATAGGCCTTTTTCCAGATATATTTTGTCATCTTAAAATCTATTTCCTAAGAACTGAGAGAAAATTCAGATTAAAAAAATGGAATTTGAAACAATAGCAATAAAGATTGCCAATGCTATCAAGAGAAATTATCCTGGCATCAAAAAGTAAATTATAATAAAAAATTTATCATACCAAGAGCAATATTTCATGAAGAGGAAGAGAGAAATGTCAAATAGAAGTAGCAAGTAGAATCTTGATTGTTTTACAATCCAACTGATGAAAGGAGGTGAGACATATAAATATGTCGAAAAACTTTAAGTTTATGCTGCTTTGACAAGAGATATTAACATTGAAGATGGAAACATAAAACTCATAATACATCAGTTTAATGAGAACATCTATTCATGCATATCATCAATTCAAGCATATTTAAGATTGGCCACTGTACAAGAAATTGTAAAAAAAAAAAAAAAAGCCCTGAAACTTGCCAGCTCACAAATGCAGAAAAAATACAGACTTTGTCACACTTAATAATCTTAAAATTTTTCATCTCACCAATAATGAATTGTGAAGCAGAAGGAGTCTTTTTAAAGTATTGACCTAAGAAGACTGTTTTTGATCAAACATGGTGGAAAAGACTAAATTATCTTTTTATCCCCTCAATAGAATTAATACAACAAAACTTCTGTCATATAAAGAGGTGGTCAAGGAATTGCAGACAAAAAAACATGGGAAAACATCATTGACATGCTGTGTCAGGCAATTATTTAATAGAACATGTTATGTTCTGGATTTTTTGATTTTTGACAGCTTCTTCAAATTTATATCTTATTATGATTATTTTTACTCCAAGTAAATATTTTTAATACTTACCCTTATATTCATAATCTTGTATTCATTTTGTTAAAGAGGCCTCCTTGCATAACTTGCTGAAATTTTACTCCAGAAAATCTGGGTCCACACCAGGCTGGCTCATCATGAATCTTCAGGGAGGAATTATTTTTCTGTGTGCACAGGGCCAACACATGACAGGCAAGCACCTTGCTGTCTCTCTCTGTGCTGTATATTTATTTCTCACTGAGATGAGCCCTTTGGGGTCCCTGCTTAGGCCTCTTGCTTCAAACTACTGTCTCTTTACATTCCAACATCTCCTCTGTCTCATGGATCATCACCAAACACCAGAGTCCAAGGTCACCAGGGTTCTACAGAACTCAAAAGTGGCCCTGGGTGCTTCCCTATATCCCAGATTTCCCACCTAGCTAATTAACTTTCTCCCTTCCTTCCCTTTTTCTTTCTTCGTGTCTGTTGATTCCTTTCTTTCTTGCCAGTTCCACAACACGTTTTTAAAAATTTTAAACACACTCTTCTCCCTCCCTCCCCCTCCAAATTTTAGTTTCTTTTAGTGAAAGGAACTTTTAAATATTTAACCCAATAGCCTTCCAGAAATTAAAATACCTGCACATCCTATGTCCAAAATTATATATAAGATGTTTATCTGAATTGACAGGAATATTTTTCTTGATACTTTATAATCTCTTTCTCTGTAAGTTATTACAATTACAACGTGCGCTATAGATTTTCCTTCCAAGACAATATTTAGTATCAGTTGTCATTTACTGCATGACTCTTACATAATAGTGATTGTCCCGTTTTTGTAATATGCCAAAGTTCTGGCTCTCAATCACTTCTCAGCCACCAGCAACCTGCTGAAGTTAAATGGGTCAGGCCCTTGATCTAATTTCAGATATGAGTCACTAAAAATATTAAAGTTGATGAATAATAATACCACTCATGCCACATTGAGAAAGCCTTTGGCAAGCTGCTTAGTTCTCACCAGCTATTATGGAAAGAGACCAAGGCAGGGAAAGCTGCTTTCTCCCTGGCCCCAGCTTCTACCCCAGGGCTGTGGAAGAGGTTGCTGCAATAACTGTGGCGTTTAGGAACACACACACACACACACACACACACACACACACACACAGAATATAAAGGTGGAATAAAAAGCGAACCAGATCCAAGAAGAATTAAGCTTACACTTTCTTACCTCCCAAAGATAGGCTGCAGAAGGAAGAGAATCTCCTTAAATCATTTCACTATTTTATAGGTTGGGAAAGGTACTTAGATTGTGTTTAGCATCCAAATCAAACAATAAAACAGTTTCCCCTAAGGGGTTGCTTCAATGATCTGAAAACTCACTGTGTCTGCTTCCGCGTTTTATTTTAATAGCATCTGGGTCATTAAAAGCACCAGCTCTTAATGCCCAGCACAAAGGACCCGAGACACCTGCCTGTCAGTTTGCAACCACTCTTTTGCCTTTCTTTCTTTTTTTGTTCATAAACCGCGAAGAATAAGTGTACTCGACAATTTCTGAAATTTCTGTAGAGTACAGTAATTCCCTTATCCAAGGGTCATACATCCCAAGACCTCAGGAATGCCTGAAAGTGCAGATAGTACCAAGCCCTATATATATATACTAGTGGCCCAGTGCATGAAATTCATGCACGGGGCGGGGGGGGGGTGTCCCTCAGCCCGGCCTGCACCCTCTCCAATCTGGGACCCCCTAAGGGATCAGGCCTAAACCGGCAGTCAGACACCCCTTTCACAATCCAGGACTGCTGTCTCCTAAATGCTCGCCTGCCTGCCTGCCTGCCTGATTGCCCCTGTTTCTGCCTGCCAGCCTGATTGATGCCCAACTGCCCCCCTGCCGGCCCAATCGCCCCCAACTGCCCTCCCCTGCTGGCCCGATCACCCTTAACTGCCCTCCCCTACCTGCCTGGCCGCCCTCAACTGCCCTCCCCTGCAGGCCTGGTCCCCCCCAACTGCCCTCCCCTGCCGGTGATCTTGTGTCAGCCATCTGTGGTGGCCATCGTGTGATGACGTGAGGGCAGCCATCTTGTGGTGGCCATCTTGTGATGACGTGAGGGCATCATGGGAGGGCGCGAGGACCACCTAGGCTTTTGTTAGTATAGATAATATTTTCTCCTATACCACACATACCTATGGTAAAGTTTAATTTATAAATTAAGCATAGTAAGAGATTAACAACAATAACTAACAAAACATAAACCAATTATAACAATATACTGTCATAAAAGTTATATGAATGTGACCTCTCTCTCTCTTTCAAAATATCTTATTGTACTATATTCACCTTTTCATTAAAGAAAGTGCTTTATGGCTTCTTTTTGGTGTATCTGAATTGCCAGCATCACTAAGTTTGCACTTTGGGGTTGTTACTACGTAAAGTAAGGGTGACTTGAACATAAGCACTGTGATACCATGACAGCCAACCTGATAATCAAGAAGGCTACTGACTACCAATCATGTTTAAATTAACTGCCAAACCACTAGATGAAGGCTGTGCATACATTTTGTAGTATTTTCCAAATTTGAATGATTGGTAGTAGCTATCTGGAATAGGGAGTTTAATTATATTTTAATTTTTTCAGAAGGAATTTAAAGCCATGTCTTGGTCAGAGGGAGAAAATATACAGGAGGATTAGTCATGTATTTGCCCTCACTAGACTTGGTAAAACTACTAGTTAAAAACAAAACAAAACTATAAATGATTTTTTAGAACTTACTAATTATTTCAAAAGACCAGGTTGATCTATATATGTCTATTTTAAATATTAACAAAGAGGGAGAATATCTAAAGAAAGAATGATATTCCTGAGTCTGAAGAAAAAGTGGGAAAGAATCCTGTTAATAAAATGTACCCTTATGGTTGAAAAGGCAAATGTTATAGTTATTAATGATAATCCTGTAACAACAGGACAGTTAAAGCAAATTTGTGTCTCTGTATCAGACTTTGAGTTAAAAAGTCATCAATATTGCAAATAATTGTCTATTGATAGAAATACTTCAAAATTAAAATAATAAGGCAATCAATTAATAATTGGGTTATTTTCTTACCAACATATCTCCTCCATGAACTCTCTTTGCAAAATAATTACGAATATGTTCAGCTGCTAAGAACAAAAAAATCGAATTCTTGTTTTAAATAAAAGTTTCTTTTATTTATACAGTAAGAAGCTGGTAGGCAACGATTGCTGGCATTGGTTCAACCACTAACAATGATCCCAAGAATCAGCTCTTCCTAGCGTTCTGCTTTGTCATCTTGAATGTGTTGGATTTTACTCTCATGCTTGTCCCTAAATGGTTATAACAAACCAAAGCATCATGTCAACATTCCAAAAAATGACGTACAAGGCAAAATTCCTCCTCCTAAGAAGGCTTAGTCTTTTTATTTTGAATAGTATGCCTCTTTGCAGCAAATTTTTCCTTACATCTCTTTAGCCAGAACAGGACACCTGTGCATCTTTGGGCCCATCATTGGCAAATAGGAATGATCATAACTGGTTTTATTCCCTGAGGATGGGAGGTGCTTCCCTTTCTAGTCATCAGGAGATCTTCGCCCACTTCCTCAACATAAAAGTGGCACAGTGGCTGTGAGCAATAAACACCGTCATCTGCAAAGGGCACAGATATTTTAGGGGATTCAGAATAATATCATTTGAATCAAAGCATGATTTTCTTGTTGAAATAGCTTAGGGTAAATACTTGCCAAATTCGTAAAGTTTGAAATACAGAGTTGGTTCTTCCAAACAAAAATAGGTAAAGGGCTATTTTATCAAGCTATTGTTAGAAAAGATGAATCATCATAGCATTAGCCTGTATCATCTAAAAAATCCTAAACTAAGTCTAAATAAAAGTAAGCTAAGACTAAATTGGTCGGTTTCCATATAAAAAAAAACAAACCTTGACTAAAATGTTGGTTATTTTTGATGTTATATTTTTTCTCATAGTGCCAGACACTGTTTCAAAATTAAGACTATATTTTACCGCAGTGCATGACACAGAATGGTAGTTGGCAGTGCTGTGTTTCTGGGAGAATGCGTCAGAATGATCCCTAATTCCTTCTTTTAAATTAAAAGAAAGTTATTTTCATTGCTCAACCTGTCCTCCCATTTGGCAACCATCAGTTTCTTCTTTTTGTTTCATTTATTCATTTTTTGTTTTTTAGATTCTACCTATAAGTGAAATCATATGGTGTTTGTCCTTGTCTGACTTATTTCATTTAGTATAATACCCTGTAAATCCATCCATGTAGTTCAAAATGGCAAGCATATATATATATATATATATTTCACATTTTCATCTATCTATTTGCTGGACATCTAGGTTGCTTTCATATCTTGGCTATTTCTAATAATGCTGTAGTGATCATAGGGGTGCATATATATTTTTGAATTAGTGCTTTTGTTATCTTTAGATAAATACCCAGAAGTGAAATTGATGGATTTTGTTGCAGCTCTATTTAAAATTTTTTAAAGAATCTCTCTAGTGGCTTTACTAATTTACAATCCCACCAACTGTGAATGAAGGTTCCCTTTTCTCCACATCCTCACCAGCATTTGTTATTTGTTGCTTTATTAATGACAGCCATTCTGACAGCTGTGAGGTGTTATATCATTATGGTTTTAATTTGCATTTCCCTGGTGATTAGTGATGAGCATTAGCCATTCTGATAGCTGTGAGGTGATATATCATTATGGTTTTAATTTGCATTTCCCTGGTAATTAGTGATGAGCATCTTTTCATATGTCTATTAGACATAAGTATGTCTTCATTGGAGAAATACCTCTGCAGGTCCTCTGCCCATTTCAATTGGCTTCCAGGGGGTGGGTTATACAGGGAAAAAAATCATTAATCATGGCGACTTAGGGAGTTAGGGTCCTGGTCTCTACTGATTGGTCAGTGCTAGGGCAGGGTAGTTGATGAGTGCATTTGGTCCTTATGTCAGCCATGGCATCACTTCATCTGGTTTGAATGCTTTCCTGGTTCTGGAGCTGAAACACAACTGAGACCTAGATGTTATCTCTAGTTTGACTGAAACGCTGTCTCAGGGGTCAATACACATGAGCCTTTGTTCCTAAGATTGTTTGATGTTGACCAGACCCGCATGGTCTTGAGGGCTTAATGATGATGGGAATGGACATGCGAGGGAGAAGGATTCAGGTGAGTCAGGGTGCTGGGTGAGGCCAGTTTGAGTCAACAGGAAAGAAAGGAGAAAATGTCATATTAAAGAAACGAAGTTGTCTACGGGGTTACAAAGTTCTCCCTAAGTTCGGCTATTCTCCTTTCAAGTTTGGTGAGCATCTTTATGTCTGTTTCTTTGAATTCTTTATTAGGCAAATGACTTATCTCCTTTTCTTCAGGATTCCCCATCCCACCCCCTAGAGATTTTACTTGTTCTTGCATTTGAGAGCTATTTTTCTTTGTTTTTTTTTTTCATTTTGTTTGACTTCGTATATTTGTTTCTATGAATTAGGCAAATAGCTATCTCTTCCAGTCCTGAAAAAGTAGCCTTACATAGAAGCAGCCCCTGTATAGGCTGTGTGTGCCGGGTGGTGTTGCCAGGCTGGCAGCAGCTGAATGGTTGCCTAACGTGTCTGGAGCACTGGCCTATGGAGCTGGATCAATTCTAGGTGGGAAGCCAGGTGGAGGAAGTAAGGCCCTGGTGAGCCTGGCTTGCACTCTTTGTTTGGGCCAGAAATGGGCTTGGGTGGTGTGTCTGGGAATGCGCTGCCGCAATCCTGCAGGAAGTCCAGGGCACCTGGAGAATGCCCCGCCCACTGTGAAAGTGGAGGGGACCGGAAACCTTGGCACTCACCAAGTCCTCTGATCTGGGAAATTCCTGCGGTCCCTGGAGAGCTCCTGCTGCTCCCCAGCCTTCTCTCTACAGTCTCTGTCTTGCTTGTTGCACAGAAAGTGGTCTTATCTAAAAGCTACCTCTGTGTCGGCTTTATGGGCTAGGTAGTTTTGGGAAGCAGGTTGGAGCAGGGCAGGCACATATGGTGCTTGGGACACTGGCCTGCGGGGCTGGAGTGGCTCCTGGCAGGGAGCCCAGATGTGTGTGGGACACCCTGTTGTTCCTGCCTGCTCTCTTTGTTCAGAGTCAAAAGGCTCCAGGCAATGTAGCTGGGAACAAAATGTGATGGGAAACTGGGAGGATCTTGCAGGTAGGCCAAAGCACAGAACAGAGCTCTCGTCTGCCCAGTCAACGTGGAGTGGGGCATAAGCCAGCGATTTTCAACCTTTTGCATCTCATGGCACACATAATCACTAAAATTCTGCAGCACACCGAAAATATATATATATATATTTTTTTTATTTTGGCCCATCTGACCAAAAAATGGGTATAATTTTGGTTCATTCACACCAGACAGCTATTGTTGTGTTGGTTGTTGTCATTTTTTACTTGACAATTTAAGGGAAAAGAGGTCAGTGCCCCTGACTAAATAGTCAGGTATTACAGGTTTTAAAAATCCTTGCAGCACACTGGTTGAAAATCACTGACATAAACAACGGTGCTCCTGGAGGTCCCACAGCTCCCTAGCCTTTTCTATTCAGTCTCTTTCTCTCGTTTGTTGTTCAGAAGCTGTTTATTCAGCCCTCAGTTGCACTGCAGGTGTAATTGCTTCCCATATACATGTACATTTGAGTGTGCACATGGGAGGGGGCAAGTTCAGCGTCCTCCTATGCCATAGCCTTCTTGGATATTCGCTTTCTTCAGATTTTGAAAACTGGGTGCTAAGTCTGAAATTGTGAAACATCTGAGATTTTATCCGAATTGAAAACGAACAGGTTAGCTTGCCAGTCTGATACACATATCCTGCAGAAGACACCAGGCTTCTGGTCAGAGACAGATGGTTTATGATTCTCAGCAAAGCAGCGGTCAGGACAGCATCTGTGTCAATTCCCCATGTCCTCTCCCAAACGATGGTGTGTTAAGTGCCAGATGTTTATCTGCACATGCAGTGGTGCTGCCACAGCAAAGGATCCCCCAAATTAGGAGGCGTGGGTCTTCATTGGCGCTGCTGGCACATCTGCCTGTCATTCCCTTTGGAGAGAAAGATCGCGTTGGACTGTCTGAAGTCTCTCCCGGGAGGGAAGTAGAGCAATACTTCTTTACCATTCTGGATGTCTCCAGATCTCTCCAGAGGAAAACATTATCTCTAGCTTGCATGGCTGTGTGCTGTATAAACATGTCCTTTGCTTAGAAAGGTCAGGCCTCCAAGGAATATAAGGAATCAGTGGAGAATTATCCACTAACACTGGGCTGACATTCTGGGATATTATTCTTAACAGAAGTCAAGGTCAGTAACTTCCACAGACTAATGGGGTTTAATATTGAAACCAAGTAATCGATTTTCTTGAGTCAATGATTTTGAGTCAAACCATGAAATAAAACAGTTGGAATTATGTCCTATCATTAGATGTACCCCAAGCACTTTGAGTTGTATTTATATTCCAGGCAAGAATGACAAAGGGACAGCATCTTCTGTGCCTCTTTGGGTTCTTGTCCATTCGTGCTCTTTCCCCATGCTTCAAGCTCTCTTGTATTCAGCCTAGATTTGTCTATAAAGGTTATTGTTAGTTATTTTGAAGTAAATTTGAGTTTATTTATCAGCAAGCAAAAAGTTGGAAAATGAATGAAGAAATTGTTGCCAAAAAGGAAAGAATACAATAAACTTTCATCACATCACTTTTTTATGCAAAATGTATTATTTATTTATTTTTACCTGTATTGAATTATTATCAATATTTAATTTTTTATATTTTCCTATCTGTAAAATTACTTGGGCATCTTGGGTTGTGATGGAATATGTCATACTTTCTCCCTATTAAAACTTAACAACTTTTCACTTAATGGCAAGGTTCTCAGAAATGAATTAAAATAATTAAGAGGTAAATGGGTTGATCAGGTTATAAAACTAGTTCTAAGAAGTTGTCATTACCTCCTTCTCTCCCAGCCAGGTGTGAGAGTGAATGGGTGATGGTCCCCTCCTTTAGAATTACTATTGGTTTATCTCTAACATTTCCCCTGCTAATTTTTTTTTTGTCATCAATGGGCACCATTTTGATGTTCACATCAACAGTAGAAATGAAGACTGAGGACCTAAATTGCGATGAGAACTAGTTTGCTACAGAAAAGTCTCTTCTGTTTTATTTTAGAGAGAAAAAAAATACAACACGCATTTATTCAGGCCTAAAAGAAGATACATGGGACCTCTGGACAGGCTAATAATTTTGAGGCCTAATTATCAAAGTAATACTCTTTATTTCTCCAACATTTTTTAAAGGCTGCAAAAGAAAAGAGAGAAAGAAAAAGAAAAAAAGGTGGAGGAAAAGGCCTCCTAGTGGCTGCCCTCTTCATATCTTCTATTTACCCAAGCCTTTCAGCTCTGACCACAAACTTGCACTCTCTCATCTGAAATGTAAAGGCCCTGCCATTCACCAGACCCACTCTCCTAAGAAGGCAGTTTTGGTCTCATCCATTGTTAAATGAGTCTGACACTCAAAGGTCTCAGCACTTACAAGGGTCACTTATCCATGTTTCTTCCAATCACACACAATGCCCCTGAGAGGATTCTGGCAAATGAGATCTTTTCTTTTCTTGTTCTGTTTTGAGCACCTATAGAGGTTGGCTCTCCATGCAAATGCTAAGTTACCCTGCCTTTTAATCCATCACTGCAGGTACTCATTCAACAAATTCTTACAAAGCACCAACTGTGCTGCGCACTGTGATGGGCATTCCCCATTCCCACATAGAGCTAACAATCTAGCAAGAGAGGCAGACAGTGGAACAGGAAAAACATAAGGCATGTTCATCTCTAAGGTCATGGGAGCACATGACCTGGTCTGAGGAGGGCAGGGTCAAGTTTCCCAGAAAGGGTGAGGGCCTGCAGCAGGAAGAGGAGTATCCAGTTAAAGAGGCCAGCCAAGATAAGACTGGTTCAGGCAGAGGGAACAGCCTGATTGAAGGCAAGAGAGAGCCTGGAGAAAGAGTATTCAAGAAACTGAGAAAGACCAAAGGGACTGAGGTGGAGGAAGAAAGGGCAGTGAAGGGTTATTTGAGCAAGGTCATGAAGGAACTTGTGCACCATGTCAAGGTGTCAGGATGTCCCTGACATGGTGATCAGTGGGACCTCCCTGCCAGGTTTGAAGCAGAGCCATGTCACGAACAGATGTGCAGTTCTGAAGGGCTACTCTTGTTATAGGGTGAAGAAGGGAACGTGAAGGTCAATATTAGACACCTGGAAACCTCTGCTGACTCTCCTAGGGCTGGCCATCCAGTAGCTGGACTGAAGATGAGGATTTTGAAATGATTGATGGGGGAAGTGCTGCTGGAGAAGACCTGTAGGGAAGTAGGGGAAGCAAGACAGGGAGGGTGAGGAGGCTACACACTGGTGACAGGTGGCATCCCAGCCGCAGCCTGATCCCCATGGGAGCCCTGGGGAGTAAATTGTGCTTCAGCATTTGACTAGCCTCAGAGCAAGGCAGCTGGGCCTTCCTGCCCCTGCCAGTCAGGCCCTGGCATGGATTCCTCCCCAGGTGTAAACTCCTAGGCAGTGCCAGCTCTCTTCACCTGTGGGTGACTCAGCTCCAGTAGGCCAAGGGCAAGGGCAGTCCTCTTAAGATAGCTCACAAGTGCAAGCTGTGACAAGCAAAACAGGCAGAAGCTGGGGGAGGGACACACAAAATGGGAAAAGAGGATTCCAGGGGATCTGGGTAGGGCACCAACAGTGTCCCTGCAGAGGCAGTTTTAATAATCCAGATTTCAGGAAAGAGCAGAAGGAAGTGCGAGTCAGGGAGAATGATGACTATGGTGGTGGAGTCAGGGAGGTGGGGATAGAAAAAGAGACACATTGAAAAGATATGAAAAGATGTGTGGGAGACAGAATAGAGGAATTGTGTAAGTAATTAAATAGTTTATATATTTTTTAACTTCTATTAATAAGTAGTATATGTTCTTTTCTAAATGGCAATAAGATTGGACAATAAACATATAGCAATTTATATTTAAGTAATTAAGAATAATATTTATGAAGAGAGATTGCTGCAGCAAGTAGCGACTGATGCTTCTTTCTTTATAAAATTCAAAAGAAATATGGTAGCTGCAGTCAATTTTTTAAAGGCGATATACAGATAGGATGTAAGTACTTACAAATTCAAAAAAAGAAAGAAAACCTAGAATATAAGCCTTCACTGAGAGCAAATCAGTGCTAAAGAGAGAGAGAAGGT